CGAAACTAGGGAGCCGCGGCTTGAGTGTAGCGAGTTGCAAAAACGGTTTTATGAAAATTCCAATTGCTCCCGTTTTTACTTTTACTTTCTTATTGTTATGCACGTAGGCGAAGGCCATACTTAGTGCAAATATATATAATTATCAACTTCAAACAGCACGAACGGCCACGTTCTTTTGCTGTTAGACGCGAGAAAGGCGGGCGCGAGCGTATAGCCGATTGCCGGCCGCGCGCCTCGCTGCACGCAAGTGAAATCACGCTTGGGCGGCGGGGAAAACTGGGGAAAATCTAAGGAGAGCGATGTTTCGGTTTCGGCTGCAAACTATCACTTTTTTTTTTTTTTTTTTTTTAATTAACTAGAGTGAATCTGGGGTAACGAGATAGCATTTCGGAATCGGGAATCCATCCGCATTGAGATTATGCCTATTGATTAGGTAGCTCGAAAAGTCGGCGGAGTTCCCCTTTAAGCCGGGGTCACGCTGCCTAGAGACCAGTGCTTCGCAGGCTCTCGTAAAAAAAGAAACTGCGCCTAAAACAATTATTTTTTTTGTTTGTTTTTTACAGCACTCTTGACATCGGTGTTGTTCTTGGAATTTTGTTGCTATGCATTTCTGGCGGACTTCTTTGCACTACGATATGTGCGAAGGTTTCTAAAAAAACGGTGTTTCGCGAAAAACGCAGACCTCCTACTGTGTCACGGCGTCAGCATAAACAAACATGGCGGTGTGCATGGAACAGAGCAGAGACTGATCTATACATCCTATACAAAAGAGTCTGTAAACTGATTCGAACGGGAGTCACCGCGAGATCCGTGATTCGAATGCCGCATGGCAAGGAGGTCAAGGACAAACTTTGGCCCACGGAATTCGTCAAACATGTCTTTTAACGCAACGCACTGCGGCCCTTCGCCGAGCTCCTATTGAATGACGTCGAGCTCCTATTGGCTTTGATCGAAAGGATTGTGGGTAGACCTTAACGCGCCTCGAATTCTACCCACTATTTTCTTTTTTTCAATCGGCCAATAAGCACTCGGCGTTCTGACGTCATCGCAACCCCTGCGCAAAAAGCAGACGAACTCTCTCTCCGCGTAGCCCTCACAGCATAGAGGGTACGTATGCCCCGTAACGTCAGGTCACGTGGCATCAATTTTCCCGCTAAACTTAGCTAGAAACTGAATTCATGCATAGGTCTCGTGACATTTTATTTCCTCTAAATTTAGCGGGGAGTGCACGGACGGACGGACGAACAAAATCTTGGGATTGGGGAGTAGCGGTAAAAAGCATTTCATACTTTAAAATGAGAAATGAGGATGGCAGGCCTGCTGGAGACCGAATACACGCATGATCCCCGTGAACTGCGGCCGATGCATTTGATGTATGATGCACGCACAAAACTCCCGCTCACCCAGACTGTCTGTACACTTAGCGTTCGGGCACGCGGTTTGACAAGGCGTTCGATTTTCGTGCACACGAATACCGCGTTCTTGGGCATCTTTATCTCTTGCGGGTAAACGTGCGCGAGAAGGCGGTATTTTCTGCACCCAAGCGTCGAACGACTCGTCGAAAGGCCGGCAGGAACGCCAGACGCGCGCCGTCCGTGTGGTCAGCGGCGGTTCTGCGCGATGCCAGGTCGGGTTCGGCGCTCATTTGCCCCTGGCGGTGGTGTGTTTGTACGTCGCCTTAGTGTCGGCGTCGGCAGCGCCTCGTTCGTACACGAGTCACGCAACCCGTCGTATTGGGGCGGGACACGGACCGACGCGCACGACCAAATCCCTTTTCGCCAGAAGGTGTCCTCTTCTTGTTCGGGATGGCCCGTCGCCGCGTAACGACCGTGTTTGTCTCCCTGTGCACCCCCGCTGTTCCTTCGAGCCTCGGGAGGCCCTCATCGACATTCCAGGTTGACGACGGCCGAAGGGATCACGTCCCTTTTCGGGAGGGAGGCGTTTTTCAGGGGGTAACTTCCATCGCGGACCAATCGGCGGGCTCGCTTTCCTTTTCCTCGCACTCGCTGCCTTCTTGCGTTCTTTTGGCGTGATCGGGAAAGTTCGTTTGGGGGGGAGTGTGGCCAGGGTGCCTGCACTCCGACGAGGGTCGGTTGCCGCGCGAGACAATTGGGTTTATCTAATCAGCCGGGAATGCCGAGCGTGATTTGATCGACTCGCTCTCTTCGCGCCTTTTGTTTCTGCTGGTGAGAGAGAGTTGTTTGGACGGGGACCGTTGGCGCAAGATTGAAGCGACAATTTGCGCCGCGGTGGTCAGGCGCATCGTCCCCGTCCCTTTCGACTTTTTGTTTCGTCGGTTTGTTCCTTTTTGCTTTCTCGCTCGGTGGATGGAGGGACGCGTTTCGCACTTCGTTGACGTCTCATTTGCGCCGCCTACGAATGCGTTTCCTTCGCCGCCGTATTTTTTTATTCTCGTTTATTTGATTGTCTTGCCCGCGTTGTCTATATTTCTACTTCGTTCGCCCCCTACGCTGGCAGTGCGACGTAGGCCGCGCGTTTGTGTTGGACTCATCGTACCTTTCGCCGCCCGATCACGCTCGCGCCGACGCGCAGAGAGCGAGGTCGGAGAATTGAAGACCGTGCGGACTCGTGCGCTACTCTTCACGAGTAATCGAGCCATCGATTACTTCTTGGAGTAATTTGGTAATCGTTTGATTACATTTATTAGGAAGCAATCGCCTCAGTAATCGGACTATTTTTCGAAGTACTATAATAGCTCGTAACCTTTACTTTTTTCCTCTCCCGTTTCTAATATTTGTTCGCGCGCGTTTCCCACCGAGGAATCTTCGTACCAAATCTCGTACAGCAGGAGGAGTCGTTACCGAGATTGGTGGATTAAGAAGGTAAATAGTTTATAATTAGGTGGTTCTAACCCAATATTGGACGGTATACGAACGACCCGTTTTCGAACCGGCAGAACACTCGGTCGTTTTAAAAATCTCAAGTAATCGAAAAAATAATTCGGTCGTTTTTTTTTTTTTTTTTACAGCGGAGCTGTTAGGCGCTAGTTTCCCCAGAATCCTGTCGGTCAGCAAACAAATGATAACACAGAACTCTGGACAGCTACCGCCATCTATGAGCGACAGTGGCAAGCAGACAACCGGCTTGTCGGTTGTCTGGTTGCCGCCGTCGCTTATACATGGCGGCAACCGTTCGAGCCTTTCAACCCTGTCTTGCCGACTTGCGGCCGGCCACTACTTCATTCCCACCATAGTACAGCTTCGCTGGTCTTCTTTCTTCACCAAAGTGGAAAGGCTGAAATGTTTTTTTTTTTCTCGTAAGCGGTACATATACGTGGACCGGATTATGCTTCGTTTCCAAGTCGCGTATACTCTGGAATAACACAAATGATGTCTTACCAGGATGTTGGACGGGGACCCGATGTAATGTAGTTTCGAAGTTGATGACGGGGCTTCCTGTAAAACAGAAGAATGTTTGTGTCAGTGTTTTATTTTGTTCGTGGGAGCTGATGAGTCGGAAGGTTCTGTTAGGCTCCGACGTCGAGCGTAGCAAGCGCGGCGCAGCGCAGCGCACGCAACTACTGGTTGGTCGCAGATATCGATTTCTTGCTCGCCGAGCCGCAATGAAAGGCTCGTGTTCTGCGCTACGCTACGTTCGCTGCGCTCAAAGTCGGAGTGAAACGGAGCCTTTAGCCTATTTTGAGATTGTATATGCTCGCCAGCTTTTAAAGTTTAGCTTTGAATGAAAATTTTGTCAGTCCATGACACATTTGGAGAAGACATTTCGAAAACGATGGGTTCGGGTTTCGATATTGTAATACAAAGTCAAAACCAAACACTGTTTTTTTTTTTTATTGTTTTTGTGAATTTCGGCATAACTTTGCGAAAATATTTTAATCGTTGTCGGATGTCGTCTAGTAGAAGTGACCCGGGTAGGGGTGCATATTCTACTCTGCCGCATCGCCACAAAGGCTCTAATCGAAACAAGAGGAGCACGTGCGGTCGACATTGTTAGGCTTAAAGTATGGGCATTTCCTTTCCCCCACTGTTCCACGTTGAGGTTCCGCTTCTTTTCGGGTGTTTTCACTTGCGGCGACAATCGGCCGCTCGGTCGTCAGTGATTCACGAGTTTCGCCCCGTTCGTCCTAATTTCAGCCATTCTGAGCGTCGTCCAGAGAAACGCTTGCTTGTTTCGAGTTTGTTCAATTACGTTGTCCCTTAATTCTACCATCGACGAACTTGTAAAAAGGAATATTCACAGATAATGGGCATGAAATGGTCAGATAGCGCAACTGTTCATTATACGACGCATTTTAAGAGAATCCTGGATATTGCAAACTTTTCCGATGTTGTGAACTGCTTGTTGCGAATTTTTTTTAGAGCGCAGCTCTTAGGCGCTCGTTTCCGGGTTGAACGCGCGTCGGCGTGACCGCGCGTTGCACTATGGGACGTTTCCCCGCTAAAGATAGCGGTGAAATTTTCGCGCTAAATTTAGCAGGGAAATCTTTCCGCTAAATTTAGCTGGACAGTTTAACCACTAAATTTAGCGGAGAATTATACCCGCTATATTAAGTGGGGAAATTGACGTCACGTGACCTCAACACCAATTTAGTTTCCCCGTTAAATTTAGCGGGGAAACTGAATTGGAGGGGGGCAGAGGAGGGGGCAGTGGGGGAGGAAAAAGAGGAGGGGCATATTCTTCCCTCCGTATCCTCCCCTTTTCCTTCTGAAGAGCTGAGCTCTAGTTTTGCATTACAGAGATTTCTAAACGCCTTTCATTTCTTTTTGTTGCATTTTTTCTGCCCTTAATTTTATATCACTACGATTAATTTATGTGCTGACAAACTTGGGATATCTTACATTGGGTAGGGACTTATAAAGCTTCAGGGTGCAACTTTTTTTTCCCTGTCTCCTTTTCTACGTTTGTAAAGCCAATGAAAGTTCGTTGAACTAAACGTCCTTACATGTCTTTTTTGTTTTGTTTTACTACTATGGAAGCGTAAACTCGAAAAAAAAAAATGTTCTTCGATCATTTTTCAGACACTGCACCTCCTCCGGCTGCGGCTGCCGAAGATGTCTCCGCGCCTCCGGACGAAGGTGAGCACTTCCGATTTGTCATTCGTCATCTAACGTTGGAAGGGAATGTTTGTCGTTTCTTCACCCAGGGGCATGTTCTGTATATATGGACGGAAGTGGGCACGGCGACCGAGGTTCATGATGCGTGTATATATTTAATTGATTTTGGAAGCAGCTCTTTCCCCTGGGATTGTGACACCTAAGTGCACAGTCGAAAATTCTCTATAGTTACTATCAAGGTGAAAATGGCTGGGAGGAGCTTCAGTTCTCCCGGCTCCAGCACGAGCTTATACCTGCCTTTGACAGCGCTTCAAAGCCTGGCAGATCGCCACGAGAAGCGGACACCGAAAGGGAAAAGGTGGAGCAGCAAACAACGAATGAGAGGAGAGCCACGTGACTGGCGTCCCGCTGCGGCGCGACGCCGAAACACACTTCTCCCGAGCGAACAAATGTGTTTCGGGTCCTCACCGCTGCCAAAGCTGCGCGCTTGCTACAGGCTCCCCGAGAAATGCTCTGTGCTACCAGATCCTTGCGCTCAAAATCTGCGACCGGGCACTCTATTGCTCCGTCGTCGAACTGCCGGGCTTTTTGAGTATACAGGAGGCGATGCCAAAGCACGACGATGGACAGCGAGCGCATGCTGCACTCTAAGAAAAAAGGGAGGAGAAAGGTAGCAAAAGCGACTGTTCCTCCTTGTTGCGGACAAGTTGCCCAGAGAAGGGAGGAACGGCAGTTCAGATGAAAGGAGGAGCGCGAGTTCCTCCTTGTTCAGTTGGCGCAGGGGTAGAACATCGCGCTACTGACCAAGTGGTCAACGGTTCGATCCCCAGGAAAGTGGTTTTTTGTGTTTTTTTTTTGTTTTTTTTTTGTAAAGTTTTTTTTTTATTTTTGTTTACCAAAACACACATAAACAAACCCAGACCGATGAAAGGAAAATTAAAGTCCTTATTATTCTCCGAGACGTTTTCCTCCTCCAGGCAGACCGGAGAAAGCTTTCGCCCTCCCGACCCATCTTCTTTCGGTTTCGTTTTTCGAGCACATCGCGCACGTTGTTTAATAAATTAATGTTGAGTTGATTGAGCTTCAGCGGCAGCGAAGGCCGCCTGTAATTCCGTCTTCTAGTCCAAACGTGCAGAACATTTCGGTTGCATTGACGTTTTTACCACTAATTTTATCAAATGAGCTAACGAAGCCGCTAGAAACAGCGAAGTTCCGGAGCAGTGCCAGCAGTGCTACATACACTGGGTAAGACGGCCGTCTCCAATTTGCGGGACACACGCGGAACTACAGCAGCGAAACCGGCGAAACCACGAGGAACTGTGTCGACGTTTTCGACGTTATGGAAATCGCGGGAACTGCGTCCAAGGAAGGCAGGTTTTCCTGCCGGCTGCCTGGGTGCCTTCCGTGCCGAGTGCCAACCGGCGTTCAACGTGATTCTTCTGCGTGTCAGCAACATCGTCAACGTGGTTCTGTATTTCTTCGTGTCAGCGACATCGTGATGGCAGTGTTGTGGGTTGTGAACAGAAGACTGGAATTATCGCCGATGTGACCGTGTGTTCGCGTATCAGTGGTGTAACAAGATGAGATGACGTAAACTGTCGGGCATTGATGCCGCTGGTCGGGCCGTTATCGGAGGGGCCGGGGTGTCGCAGGATGACATTCCGCTTTACATTAAAGAGTTTAAAACCACTTGAGGGATTAGGTGCAGTCGATCGACGTGTGGATAGTCATGTATGAACGCTGGTCTGAACGGTAAGCTCCTATCGTAGAGTGGCCAATGTGACTGTCGGTCCCCGAGAGCGATTGCGCTCTGGGGAAAAGACAACACTACGAAAGTATGACGGAAAGTACGTATATTTATAATGGAAGTTTAGCATAAAAAAAAAAGACAGGCAAAATCGAAAAAAAAAAACGCTATCCTTTATTTTACTGTTTAAATATATTACGGTTCCTGTAGAAACTGCCCTCTAAGTGGCGCTGGTGGCGCGCTGGGATGAGCGCTAGAAGTTTTCGAGCTCGCAACGGCGCAGCTCCGTACACTTAACAGTTGTCGGAAGTCGCGGCTTTGACTGCATTCAAGTTGATCGAAAAGCGATTTCTGTGCCCGTGAAGCATCACTTCCAGCTGAGTGGATATCCGCTCTACCGAGATTAATTCAAGACGGCAATTGCAGCTTTGCGCGAACAGCACAAATAGAAAAACGAACACTACAATATAAATACTGGCTACGAAGGGCCATGCGGGAAAACAAACTCATGGCTTGGAACCACATTGGAGCGGCTCGATTTATTGGCTTTCAAATAATTATGGCATGATTGAGCGTCTTCTTTTTAATAAGAGATTCATCCCCTGAGCCATTAAGAATAGCCTCAGATGTATGACATTGCTGGAAAAAAATGAACATGTTCGGAATATTTTTTTTTTGCTTAGGGAGTCACCGAAAAATTCCGCACGTTCAAAACGACCACTATAAAAGACGGAAACGCAGGGCTCGCTAGTAGTGATCGGGGTAGCGTGCTGTTGTATTGATGTTTGTATGTGCTATGCCTGTGTATGCGTTCAATATATGTTGACCTGATGTTTGTAGTGTGCGCAACGTGTCTACATGTGTTAGAGATTCCGAAGAAAAGGAAACGCAATTGTGGCGTAAGAAAATAAAAATATTTTTTTGTAAAACATGAATTGGGCGGTACCTAGCGCCACCTAGCCTAGCTACGTGCGATTACTCTGCTTGACCCTGCCATCTGGTGGCAAGCGATTTAACATCCTTTTACGCTACGCGGCTACGCCATAATTTCGTGTTACCGTGCTGAGCTAAGCCAAGAGGTTGCTTCGGATTTGCTTTTTATTTGAGAGCGGCTTTTGGTTTTGCGGGCGAATGATTTTCACTCCTCCGTGATGTGCGGCTGACGCTACGGTTGACGAAGGAATTGTGGCTCGAGGAATAGCAAAGGTAGGACATAAAGTGCGCGAACTGAGTGCCGGTTGTCTCCGTTGAACATCGCAGTGCTGACGATGAGAAGACTGAGTGACTGCATGCTTTCAAAACGTAAGTTTCTTTACCTGCAGGGGTAAAGAAACTTCGGAAATAAATACAGTTCGCGGAAAGCTCGTGTTACGTTTTTATTTCCTGCTCCTCTCGCTTCGTGCAATAGACTTAGTGTTCTCGTTAAGCCTTACCGAGCTCGATTTGCTCGATTCGTGGCCGCCATAATGAGATGCAGTCGACGGAGGAACTTTTCCTCCCCTGCTTAAGGGACGAAAGTTTCTCCCTTTCTGAAGGAACATATGTGTCAAGAGCGTTCCTCCCTTTAGGGAGGACTATACTGACCCCTTTTTTCTAAGAGTGTGGAGGTCGGGTCTTTCGGAAGAGCCCCCTTGCCGGTCGCACCTGGACAGTCCGTTTTTTGACCTTTTGAATTGGCCGTAATATCCGTGGCAATAATTTGATTTCAATCGGACAGGTTAGTCGATAGGGCGGCGGAGGCAAAATTGCGCGAAACTTGAGTGCCATCGTGGACAAAGGGGTGGAAGGGGGGATCGGTGGCCGAGTGTGCTAGCGCATACCAGCTCGGAGCACTTGAAGCGAAAGCGCGCGCCGCTGAACCCAGGGATCCTGGTTTGAATCCCCACCCCTGCCCGTTTCGATCTGGATGAGTGTCGTACCGGTGTGCGTGCGGTCGTGCACATGTATCGGTACTGCGTGATGCGTGTTAAAGACCCTTAGGCTTGCGGGGGTGCAGCACTGGCTAGACAAAGCGACAGCGCTGTTTGGTTTGGCGCTATCTAGCCACTGAAGCAAGAAGCATTTGGTGTGCCTGAAAATGGCGGCTGCATTGTTCGAACGGGGGTTATTACTCTGGTGGCGCCCCTTAGCTATAGTGTCTTAAGCAAGAAATATTGGGTAGGCGAGAAAGCCGTGATCGCTTAACATGCTAGTACTTCGCAAACCAAGACCCTCCCGGGCCAGTCGGAACGTGACTACGTCTCATCGGAGTGCGCTTTTACTGCGAAGAAGTATCAGGCTTTTCGTTGCGTCATGCTCCAATATGTGTGCGTTGCGCTCGCGTGTACGTAGCGTGTATCGAAGCCGTCGGCACACAATGTGGGGCTTATCGTTCACCCTTTGCCAAGTTACAACGAGACAGTATATAACCGTGAGATCTCGCTCTGCTGGTGCCGCCTGGCCGTTGCCGCGTCCCTATGCAGGCAGAGAGAAGCGATGTGGGCGAGCCCTTTCTTCCTGACTTGCACATGGCCACGAATGATGAATAGCGGAAGTATTCGCGGGTGGCCATAACTTTGTCCATGGGTGCTGAGCACGTGTGGTCAGGCTCAGCGAGCCTTCACGATGCTTCTGCAACGTTTATTCTAAACCTTCATGATCGGCGGCCTTCCAGTCTGGGCCAACGCGCCGTTTATACTTCGTTTCAGCTGCAGTGCACACGCAGGTGACGCTACGTGCTGATGGAACCTAAAGTCCCCAGATAAGAGCCTCGTACAAGTAGTAACATTCTTTAAAGCGCCGACTGCGTGACGGTGCAGGTTTTACGAAGCGACTGGCGGCGCACAGCAGAGGTTTGAACTGGATGCCTGCATTTTGTTCCAGCGGAATGTGCTTTGTCATTTGTGTTGGATGTTTTTCATTGTAAACGAGGTATCGAGGGACTTTTATGGAACCATTGAAGCCGCGTTAAAAGCGCATCACTGGGCCTTTTCTGTTTACGATTCATTCAGCGATGATAGAACACGCGCAGAAACAGGACGAACACCATGATGATGCGTTTTTGGCGCTGTGAGGTGAAAGTATAGAGCTACTAAATGAGCTACGCTAAGGGTATCAGCACTCCGTTCCTCGGTCTGCTAGTGGACACCACCATTTTGCTGCCAGAGCAGACGCATGCTGTCAATCGTCACGATTAACAAAATGCGACTTCGTCGGCTTTAGACAGGCGGTGGGTAGCAAGCTCGGCTGATATCGTCTTGCTCTGTCGCGAACTGTTGTAACATTTCTGGGGGAA